TTGCCGCAAAAGCGGCAGATTTGTAGATCCGATACGTGGGTTCTTTTCATATGATGTGTTAGATCGATCTTCAGCTTATAACTGCGGCCACAATGTTCACAAATGTATCTTGATTCATAATCGCTATGAGCACGAATGTAATGTCTTTTTAGTCCATCTTCACTTTTGTACTTCACATGACAGATTTCGCACTCAAAAAAATAATCCGGCCGGTGTATTTTTTTATGCGTCTCCAGCGCCCTTAACGTATAACAAGTTCTTTTGCACCTGTCGCATTGATATGGTTTACGATGTGCATATTTTACATGTTGTTCAACTTGCTTTGCATTATTAAAATGCCTCTCACAAAATGGACATGTGTTTTTTATTTCTTCCATGACTTCATCTACTTCAGTGATTTCTTTGTGTGAATTCAGAGAATCGGAGACTTGTGATGATTTCACATTCAACAAAGATCGAACATTGTTAATTGAAATATTGGTATCTTTGATAGTTATTACAGATGAATTCTGTGAATCTAATGACAAATTTACATTAATCGATTCATTTGACACATTTTGGCACTGTATTGTAACGGGTTTAAGTTTTTTACTTGTAGAATTAATTTCACTTTGAACAGGTTTCCAAGAGTCCAATAAAATGGAGACAAAACGAACAAGCCCTTTTTGGTATTGCCTTCCTGTCTGCTTGATGATAGGCTTTTCTCTGAAACAGGGATAAATTGTGTCAGTGTATAAAGTATCAATATTTGTTTTAATTATATATTCAAATAGCCAAATATGACATAAAAAAATCTTCTTATAGCCATTATATTGTATATAATAAAATAAATCTGACTGTGTTGTTATATTGTGGATGTCACCATCAATTTCATCAATTACTAGAAAATTTTCATAGGAAGCATTAGAAAATTACGCATATATATATATTTTTATCAAATTTTTTATATAAAATTTTTACACGCACTTGTATTCCGTTATATCCAGAGAGATGCAATGAGTCTGAAATAAATGCAAGAAAGTAACTTACTTCAAAAAATGTAAAAAATTGTGGAAAATATTTTTTTCTTGTACAAAATAAAGTTAGCTATTACGCTATAAGAATATCATCCATAAAACAAATGAAAAAAATTATGCATTAACAGCATTAGTTTTTAATAAAGTAAATATATATTTATTCCATTAATACTGTTATTGAATTTAAGATTATTTTCAAATGAAATGTAAATGTGTGCTGTTACTACATCATCTTTTTCGTGCACAATATTATTTAATATTATGCTCGTAATAATTAACATATTTAATTGATTATATAAATAAATCTTACAAAAATACAATCTTTTTTATTTATCAATGTTTGTTCAGTTACAAACGGTTATCCAAATGATTATTCATAATACGAAATTTTATATATATGTTATACATATCTTTATACATATCTTATTATTAATTAAGCATTATTAACACATATATTTCAGTTTAGATAAATATTTAGCTATGCTAAATACTTATTATACTTTATTCATAAAAGATGTTTATATAAAAACGTATGTCCCGAATAATTTAAATAATTGAAAGTAATAGTAAATAAAATTAGTCTTTCATCTTATAATTTATCATGATAAACTCATCAATTTTTTAATATATCGCAATTGCCATTTTATACATATCCTTTCCATTTCAAATTAACTTTTTCCCTTACACATACAAATAACAAAATATACATCTAGAATGAAATATTTTTCACATTTATTAAAAACTAAAATTAAACTAAAATTAAACTAAAAATAGAACTAAACGCACTGGGAACAAAGAAAAATCATCAAAAGGTTTTAATTATGACATATATGGGTACCGGATATTTTCTGAATATCCGATATAAATTTCCCAAAATTCTAAAAAAAAAAGAAAGCAAGAAAAAAAATAGCAACAATTTTGTTCATTTTAATAATAAGCGCGCTATTAATGTTATTGCATCATTCTATATCCTATTCTTGTTTTACGTCTAATAAAAATAATAAAGACAGAATGATGACACAACAGCATGTTGTTGATCGAGCTCCCCAAATACAGTTTTAACTGAACTTCTTGCAAAGTTTATCTTTTTCCTTTATCTCCCCAACGTAAAAAGAAAAAGAGAAAAGCTGAACTGTGCAAAAAGTTTAATTGAAAAGAATAGAATTCTGCATCAAACTTTAATATAAAATTTCAGACGGATATATAGTCAGATATTAGCTATCCAATAGTAAAAAAGTATCCAATAGTAAAAAAATACCGAATATTTTCCGGATATTCGGTGCATCTCTAATAGTTTAACAATATTTTTATATTCTCACAAACTATCAAACATATTTTTGAAAAATATGTTTTCGAACATTATTATTATACATTTGTAAATTAAATGACTTTTGTACAAATAACGATATATTAAAGCATCGTCTAAGCCGTTCATTAATTTTATTATATTAATAGTTATTAATATAATAAAATTAATGAATTTATTAATAGTTTCTCGAATTTCTATAAAATATTTTTTAAGCTAAAGTAATGAAAACCTGCGACGTGTAGAGTGAAAAAAGATCGGGATGATTTTTTTCTGTGCTGAGGATTGGATCATTGAGTAAAGTCTTCACAGCAAATATATGGCAAATATATGGCCTGATACCAGTATGCGTAAGAACATGCTCATAGAATTTATTACCTTTTATCGACACTTTCAATACTTTGTTAGAAATCGAACAAGATATACTTAATTTGTGAACTCGGTTCTTGTACTGTAATTGTCTTAATTGTCTTAATTATCTTAATTGTCTGCTCCATTTCTTTTTCTATTTGAAGTTCTCTTTTTCATTGTTCGTTGTAATTTTTTTCTTTTTATCTCCTTTTGCTGGACTATACTACTATTTCTTCACACTTTCTTTAGAAGTAATACCTATCATATCATAATACATTCCGACATATATCATTATCCCACATTGTCATCCACCGTCCCTAAAACATCCATTAATTTCAATCATACAAAAAACAAAATATACATTGTCACAACTGCCAAAATCAAGACTTCTTTCTTTTATTCTCTCAATCAGTAATGTTCAATAAAAATTCTGGTAAAATCATTTAACTAATATATTTGATATTATTGCTATTATATAATTTGTAAAGATTAAACAATTAAATATATTAAATATATTAAGATAGAAACAAAATTATAAGCTTTGTTTGACTTAAAATTTCTAAATTTACATATAATTTTTTAAATACTATATAGTATCTACATACATTAAAAATAATTATTTCAGCAATTACCATTCCAACAAATTTATAAGTATGTCGTACCATCTACTTATAGCAAATTCAGTTGAGCACAATGCGCATTAATACATATTACAATCATTGTACACTAATTTAAAAATGGATGTAAAAATGAAATGCAAATATTTCGAATTATAACACGCATATTTTACTTGACAGCATAATAAAATGTATTGAAGATTTCACAGTTTAATCTATTTTATATTTATATTAAACACACATCTTTACGTCAATTTATGTATGACTTTAATATGCATCAATCTAATCAAATTCTCTAGTAGTTTGACTTCTGATTCAAGTCTGAACAGTAACGGGGATGGCTGATAATTTGGGTTGAAATGTTGATGTCGGAATATCATTTGCGATGATGTGCCGTCACGCTGTTATATTGCGTGAAATATTAATTGTTGGCAGATATCATATTTGTATGATTTTTTGCCTGTGTGAATAAGCTTATACATCTTGACACGTGCGTATTTCGAGAAAGTTTTTACCAGTGCATAACATGCACTGGTAGGATCGTTCATATATATACGTTCATATCGCTCTAATGTTTAATTCGACGCTAATATTTTATCGCATTGGACGCACAAAAACTTCGGCAAATGTGGGCTCATATGACTGCAAAGGCTGAGCGCCGAGATAAAAATTTTTTTATTATTTCGGCGCGGACTTCTGAATTCCATGAATCACACATTTGTATGTAAGGTACGATTTCTGTAAGCTGTAATAATCATGAATGAAGTACCAACTTCTTGGCTAACTCACCTTGTAACTCAAGTTGTGATCCTCGAGATTATAATTCGACATAAATCTTGACGCAGCACTGTTCGCAATGTCGAAAGTCACGCTTGTGCACCCGTCAAATATAGACATCAAATAAAACTTTCGAAATCAAGTCATGGAGCACAAATATGTGTGACGTCACTGTGGATCTGCATGTGATTATTCATATCCGACTTGCGTTTGAAGATTTTCTCAAATCGTGCAAGGATGTACATATGCTTCACACACATGTGTTTTTTATATCTACAAAGCAGAAGATATCACATGGCATATAGGACATTCATATATCGCACGCACACTTTTCTTTTTTGTTTTCAGTATTAATGATAGTATTTCTAATGTTTTCATCACATGTTTTTTTTTCAATATTTCTTCTTTTGTTCGATTATTAAGTTTCCTATCGTTGAATTCGATTCTATTTCTAGCGAATAATTGTACACCTCGGATTTTTCCTCGCTAAACTCATTCTTGAAAAGTTCTTCCATCAACTCTTCGAATTCGAGAATTCTGTAAACAACAACAATAATTTTTCAGCATTCATATTTAAACGCAGTCATATCATCAAGACATTGATACATACACATGATATGGATATTTTCTCTTCTTCATCCAAAGTTTCATACGAGAATGATCCAAGGACTAATTTGGCAATTTATACAAACGTGAAATAATGATGTTCTCTTACTTCAAAATTAAGGAACAATCGACAAAGATTTGCAAAGTTACAAACACTATTTTATGTATGAGTTATTTTATTAAACGTATAATAACGAATATCAATGATAACATAAATTTATCGATGCATTTATCCACATTCATACGAGTAAGTCTGAGGTCTCGCCTTAGAAAGAAACTCTAGAAAAGAAAAGAGAAAAATAAGGAAAAGAAAACGAATTCGTCGTTCAACAACATTGGCATTATTCGGCTTACAAGTTATCCTTATCTACACTGAAAAAATAGAACAACAATATTCGTAACGGAACACTTTGAGCACGATAGTACAAATGTATAATCGTATAATTCATGAAAAACCGAACGGACAAATATCGCGCGTTATTTTGTCTCTTGAGCGTCGCACAGTTTACACAAACGTTACAACCAGTGTACAAAAGATATTGTAGAAATTTATCGAGAAGTATCGGGAATATCGTGAGTATAACGCTCCGTCGACATTGTCCAACATCAACGTAGTGATAGATAATATAATCTATAATAATTCAAAACTTTTTTGAATTTCTGTCTGCTCTGTTGTTACGATATATAAGCAACAACAACGTGTAAGCACGTACTATCGCACTGTTATTATCGTTTATGTAGTCGTCAACGAAAATCGCGTCATCAACAAGAAGTCATTCATAAAACAAGTCAAAGTTCTTAAACACACGTAGACTTCTGATGGGCCGTTAAATTGCCCTGGCAAGAGAATCCACGATTGCATATCTGGCACACATAAGGTCGTTCCCCGGTGTGTCCGCGTTTGTGAATAGTCAACGTCGATCTCTGTGAGAATGCTTTCGGACACTGGTCACATTTGTACGGCTTCTCCCCCGTATGTACTCTTCTGTGCATCCTCAGATTTTCGGAATCGGTGAAACCCTTTCCACAGATGTCGCAAACGTAAGGTTTTTCCCCGGTATGGATCCTCCTGTGCTTCTTTAAGTGTTCAGCACTACTAAGACTCTTTCCGCAGTAATCGCAAAGATACAGCTTTGTCGGATTGTGGCTTTCCTTGTGTCGGAAGAGCGACCTCTTCGTGGCAAGTACGCGGCCACAAATGTCACAAGCAGTGCTAGTCACTTTGTTAGCCTTCAGCTCGGGATGCGTGCGTCTGCAGTGTGCGGAAAGCTGTCGTCTCAAGTAGAAGGCATTGTTACAGAGCTGACAGACAAACGGCTTCTCGCCCGAGTGAATGTTATAGTGTTCCTGAAGATCGAGCTTCTTACGAAAACGTTTATCGCATTCATTGCATTTGAATGGCAGATCCGCTTTGTCCATATGTCGCGTCATGTGAATGCTCAGAGCCGCCAAAACAGTAGTTTCGTAATCGCACTCCTTGCACATGTAACTCGGTAGGAAATGTGTCTTCTCGTGCCTCGTTAAGTCACGAAACAACCGAAATTTTTTGGGGCAATGTTTGCAAGGGAGATCGCCTACTGTGTGGCGCAATAAATGTTTCTGATAATTGCTTTTGTGTCGGAAAACTTTGTTACAAGTTTTGCAAAGAAACTCTAGCTCAGGCTTTTCTTTCTTCACCTTTTTCAATGATGCGATACGATCACTCACTCCTGAAGAGTTGCTTTTGCGACTGCTTTTACGTACCGAATGCGTTTTCATGTGTTTGCGAAGACTAATACCAGTTCTGAAGATCCGGCCGCATTGGGCACATGTATTCTTCCGCTTACCTTTGTGCTCGATCTCATGATTATCCAACAAAGACTGCGAGGCAAAGAAAACACCGCAGAGTTTACAGTGATACGCCAAAGGAAGATCTTCCTCGTCATCCTCACTGTACTTTACTTCCTGCTTTATGACATCTTGTTCAGGATTTGTTGAAACTGCTGTCTCGTCAGTGGTGTCCACCGGATCCAGGCATTTCGACGAGGACTTCGCAGGTTCGCCATTCTTCTTCACCAGATCAAGTTTAGAGAACATCGGGTAATAGTCTTCAGGAAACTGTAGCTGGTTGTACCTGAAATGGAAAAATTCAGAGGGATATCAGTATCGAATATCCTTGTTATATGGCAACGATCTTTCTTTCATTGTCTGGTCTCGTTGTCTAGCAAATTATTTCTACTCCTGTAAGTAAAATTTTTGAACTTGCGCAAATTTACAGCTTTATTTATATGATAAATTAAATAATTTGGTTAAAAAATAATCAAAATCGTCAATATTACATCTATATATAGTTTGTCATATTATATCTAACGATAGAGACATTTCAATATGAAAAAAGCAATGATGAAACATTTGATAGAGTCATAACTCTGAGTAATACTTTTTTTATATTAATAATACATTTTTATTTATATTAATAATACATAATGTAGGAATATATATTCAATATAAAAAAAATAATTATAGCTCTTACTGCAATCCATATAAAATAAACAATGTTACATATATCTTTCTTGATATTTCTGTTTGTTATTCTATCGGCATTTGCTATATTTACGATTTTATCAATCATTTCTTATGTAATATATTAATTTCTAATAATAATCCACTTTATAACACACACACATACACACACACGCGCGCGCGCGCGCGCGCGCCTGTCAAAGATAAAAAGAAAACTTTAAAATCATAGAAAGACTTTGCAATACAATTTTTAATGAAATTAATTTGTTTAAGATTCTTAATTACGAATAACGAATTAGAATTCAATTAATAATATCAAAAGCGAGAAAATACATAATAAAAATTCAGTCATTCATTTTTCAATAAAATCAAATTTAAATGCTGATATACTTACAAAATATTCGGAAAAACTACTTTTATTTTGAAATAAAATCATATTTATCTGAATTGATATCAATTCGACATACAATTTGTATCATTTTTTTACATAATTCAATTGCAAAAATTTGGTTATTTATTAATTACTAGAAGTACACAAATTTTCGGTCTACTTTATAAATCTGTTCTATTGCGAATGTTATTTTATTAAAAAATATGTTAATATAATTTACAAAAGTTTTTGTTTGATATTTTATCGCTTTTCTGGCCACAATCAAAAATGGCTGCAGTGAGTAGATAGAAGCTTTAATACATTGTAAATAGCACTTCAATAAATTAATTAAAAAAATAAGAGATCAATATATCAAAATATGTCAGATATCACATGATAACATCATATTACGATTCCCGCAAAAAATATTAAAAAATTTTATCATATAGCACTGTGGACGAGTATCGTCAAAATAAATGTAGAATACGACGTTTATTAATATCGTTGCACTTTATTTCATCGCTTGAATCCATATATAAGTCTGATAATATCACTATACACAATAATGTTTTAAACACGAGATGAAACTGACACAGTATCATAGAAACAGATATAAATTATATCGATTACTATGTCGATTGCATTATTATTTCATTAACCATGTGTACTTTATTATGAGCATTAAGCAATCCCCTAGACACAAATGATTTGCTGCAATAACTACACTGATATGGTCTCTCACCGGTGTGATATCGTTTATGTATAACGAGAGTCGAATGTTGCGTGAAAGATTTTCCGCAAGTATCGCACGAGTACGGTTTCTCGCCGGTATGAGTTCTTTTATGCACGACCAATGTCGTTCTTTTGTGAAAAGCCTTGCCACAAACATCGCAGACCAGAGACTTCTCTCCGCCATGAAGACGCAAATGATCCTGAAGGGATCCTTTAGATGAGACAGATTTACCACACAAATGACAGTCATATTTGTTTTCGCCGGTGTGTGACTTGACGTGGACTACCAACGAGTTCTTGTAAGCGAATATCTTGCCGCAGAACTCACATTGGTGCTTCACCGGTTTGAAGTTCGGATCATGAATTTTCAAGTGCCGCGCCAAGGTGTGATTATTGGGAAAAGATTTGTTGCAAGCAGTACATACGTGTTCCTTGGCGCCATGCTTCACATTCATGTGTCCGTGGAGCTCGGCGTTCGTGAAGAAGCCCTTCTTGCAAATCTCACAGTGTGTTGTATACTTTTCGAAGTGACGCTTGTAATGAGTAGCTAACTGAGAAGCTTGTATAAACGCGTGACCACACACATCGCACACAAAATTTTTTTCGTGAGTGTGAATTCGCTTGTGTACCGCTAAAGTATTGGTTCTCTTGAAACACTTGCCACAGACATCGCATTGATAGGGTCGAGCGTCACTATGTGCCACTAAATGACCTTCAAACAAGTTCTTCGATCTAAAAAGCTTCGTACATATATTACATTCATAAAACGTTTGTCTGTTGAATTGTTTTTTCATGCCTGAATAATTCTGATGAGTAATTCCTCTGTTTGCAGCTTTTTCAGGTTCTTTTTCCGTCAATGGATCTTCGGAAAGCTCATGTCTCAAACTTATATCTTTGTATTGAACACTGCAATCTTCTTGCTTTATATATTTTTCTTCTTTAACAAAAATTGAAACCAACGTAGAATCCGTACATTCATCTATAGACAGTTCATTTTTTACGCACGTCTGTGCTGGTTTTTCATTTCTGAAAAGAAAATGAAATAATAACTATTATAATATTAACTGATTTAAACTGATTACTAATAAAATGAATTCAGGAAGGATTATAATTTTATTTGCACTTATTTATATCTTTCTTCATTAGAAGTTTGTATATTAATGTTATTTTTAGATATCAAATATATATTTTTAAAAAGCAATGTTTCTTACCTTAAAAAATTATTGAATATTTATAATATGTATATATATACATATGCGCGCGCGCGCGTGTGTGTGTGTGTGTGTGTGTGTATGTACAGTGTCTTGTAATTTTTTGACAAGCACTTTTGTGTAGAGTGGATTAAACTAAGTTGAAAAGTTCTCTATCATTTTTCCAATTTTCGCAATAATTAACAAAATTATTAATTATATATTAATTACTAAAAATCGTTAAATATTGGTTTTAAATAATTTTTTACTCAAACATTATCAACTTTACAGAAAATAGCAAGAGATAAAAATTACTTATTTTCTTTTTATGAAGTTCTGAAAATTTTTTCAGAAATTTTTAATATCGTGTTTTCTCATGTTGATAAAAATAGTTGCCAATATAAGAAAATGCAATACTAAAAAGTCAATAAAAAATTTTGAAAAAATTCTTAAAGCTTTATGAGAAGAAGATAAACAATTTTTATCTCTTGCTGATTTTCTGTAAAGTTAATAATATTTGAGTAAAAAATTATTGAAAACCTGTATTCGGCAATTTTTACTAATTAATATCTCGTTAACCATTGCAAAAATTGCAAAAATGGATTTCGACTCAGTTTAGTAAGCTCTATCTACACAAAAGCTTGGCCAAAAATTGCAGGACACCTGTATATCGGATATTTTAGACTACACCTTTATTTTCGCTGGATAAGATTCAATCAACAAAGAGTAAAAGTATTCAAATAAAAATTATAGGATTTAAAAAGAATTATTTACTGATTTGATTAGTTTGATCTTAGGTGGTGTCGCCAAGATAAGTCAAGGTCACGTCATTTTTTTAAATAAATAAATATTAATAAAAAGTTGGGAATACCCAACTTTTTATTCCAGTATCTAATAACCGATGTCGAGAACTTTTCAAAACACTATAATAAAGTTATTTTTCATTGAGTACTTTTCGAGTTACAAGGCTCGAAAGCTACAGTACTGCTAACAAAATTGTCTTATTATATTTATATGTACATAATTTATCATATTGTAGATTTATCATATTGTATCTAACAATTTGAAACATTTGAAATACGAAAAAAGATGTGATGAAACAGCTTTTGATAATTGTAACTTTTTGAGAGTAGCACTTTTATTTATATTAATAATGCAGGAATATATTCAATATAAAACAATTATAAAATATTCGGAAAATTTTTGTATTTCGGAATAAAATCTATTTATCTAAATTAATATCAATTCGACATAGTTCGTTTCATTTTTTTTTAAATAATTTAATTGCAAGCGTATGATTATTTATCAATTGCTAGAACATAAGTTTTCAATCTTAAAATTTTATAAATCTATTCTATCAATTACGAATGTTATTTTATCAAAAAATACGTTTTAATATAATTTACAAAAATATTTTAGATTTTTTTCGCTTCTCTGACGCCACAATCCAAGATGACTGCAATGAGTAGATAAAAGCTTTAATACATTATAAATAGCATTTCAATAAATAAATCAATAAAAAAATTAAAGTAAGCGATCAATACATTAAAATTAGAACGGATATAAAGAGAATGATACAAATTAGTCGTCATTTTGTGTTCTATATCTGGAATATGACGCAATTCCTCGTCTTAAACCTCTTTTTTCTAACTAATAGTAAAAATTTTCTAATAGTAAAGGTACTTAAAGGCAAAGCCAATCAGCATTAGGCATATGCATTGACGCCATTCTCTTTATATCCATTCTAATCAAAATATGTCAGATATATGATAATATCAAATTGTGATTCCCACAAAAAGTATTAACATCAAAATATTTGATCGTATAACAGTATGGACAAGCATCGTCAAAATAAATGGTAAAATATGGCATTTATTAACATCGTACCTCTTTATATCATCACTTGAATCCACGTAAGTCTGATAATATCACTATACAATAATGTTTTAAACACGAGGTGCAACTGACACATAATAGAAAAATATAATAGAAACAAGTACAAATTATATAACTATGTCGATTGCATCACTATTTCCTTAAAAATGTGTATTTTATTACGAATATTAAGCACTCCGCTAGGCACAAATCAGTTGCTGCAATAACTACACTGGTCTCTCAACGGTATGACATCGTTTATGTATAACATCGTTATGTATAACGAGATTCGATCATATGTAAGACTTTCCGCAAATGTTGCACGAGTATGATTTCTCACCGATATGAATGTTTTTATGCTCGATTAATGTCGTTTTTCTGTGAAAAATCTTGCCGCAAATCTTGCATCACAGATGTTTTTCACGGACAGGCTCTCCCCGCCATGCAACTCCGAAAGAATGCCTTAGAGACGGACCACATAAATGACAGTCATCATATTTTATATTGTTCTCGTCGGTGTGCGACTTGACGTGGAATACCAACGAGCTCTTGTAGGCGAATATCTTGCCGCAGAATTGAGGCTTCACTCACTGGTTTCAGATCATGAATTTTCATATGGCATGTCAAGATGTCATTAGTGGCGAAAGACTTGTTGCAAATAGTACATATGTGTTCCTGCGCGAAAGCATGCTTCGCTCGCATATGTCTGTAGAGCTCAGCGTGAAGAAGTCTTATTGCAAATTTCATAGTGTATCATACGTATATATTTCGAAGTGACGCTTGTAGTGCATGGTTAACTGGCTTAAATATTAATAAACGCGTAGAAACGCGTGACCGCACATAGCGCACACAAAGTTTTTCTCCTGAGCATGAACTGATCACTTGTGTTGCGCTAAGTATTGGTTCTCTTGCCGCAGACATCGCAAACACAAAATCGAGCATTGCTATGTGCCATTAAATGATCAAAACAAATTTTTCGATCTAAGAAGCTTCATATATATATGTATATATATATATATATA